TGGTCATTTCTGGTACTAAATCTTGTTTCCTGTCATTTTTGCGTTCTGCATGTCAGAATGAGGTCAAGAATAAGGGTTAATGTTTGAGAATGGGGCTGAATGCACAGAAATTAGGCTTCATGCAGTCAAACCTAGTCCTTAACCCCCAAAGGGAATTATACACATACACATACACTGGTGTGTATATGTACACATTACTATACACATTAGTCTTGGCAAATCTGGGTTAAATGTTCCAAAATCGGGCCGAAATGGGATTAATGGAGGGGCGTAAAGGGGCATTTTGGGTGAAAATTGGGTTATAAGGGACTCACACAAATTTGCCTCAAGACAGCAATGCACAGATGGCCACATTATTATGGCAACATTTTCTGGCAGTCACGTCGGGCCTCGGAGCATTTAATGTAATTCATGTGCCCACTTGACCACCGCGTACGGGCGAAAGTGGACCAACAAACACTTCCAGTGACGGATCTGTGAGGATCAACCCGCCGCTGCGAGCGAGTTAAAGACGGCAACAACACCAGCGCTACTTCCAATTGCCAGCGCTACTTCCAGTTGCCATGATTCATCCGTTGAACACTCTACAGTGCTACTTTCAGTTGCCAGCGCTACTGCCAGTTGCCATGATTCATCCGTTGAACACTCCCTTCTTCTGAGAATACGTTCCCTCCTTTTCCCTCTTTGTTCTCTCCTTGTCACTCGCCAGCGCCAGTGCCCTCGCCGCATTCTCCTTTGCGATGTTACTCTCGGTACGCGCAATGGCGGGATGGGTATCCCTGGTGGATAGATTGCGCAAAGTGTGCAACTGCCCCTGTATGTTCTGTGCCCAACCGGCAAGGGGTTATCTAACATATGATTGGTGCAACGCACCCCTTTGAATGGACTGCACTGGGAATGCTGACAAAGTACATTATTGCGATTATGATGGCGACTATTATTCAATCTGTCAGTCGGACAAAAGCTCCTTCGACTTTAAGGCGCTAAGCAACGACAAAATGCATCTGGAAGAATGTCCAGACAGTGAGACCAGTAGGCTGAAGATCAAGCTGAACGAAAGGCGATTCTGTTACTTCTGGTCGCATCCCTCGCATTTGCAATTGATGCAAACAAGACCATTTTGAAATGTCAATGGCAACCTTCCCCGAACATTTCCATAGAATAAAAGCTCTCCCCCCCCCTTCAATCCCAGCGTATGTCCGGTGAAAGAAAGTCAATGCATACTATGCAGTGGGCACATTCTTCTTGTTATGAACTCTGAACAAGTAATCATCTCTTCATGCTTCTCCCTGTACCATACTGCGTAGTCCGGTTCCACTCTCTGATAATGTTTCACTATTTTATCAACACAGATCAACACGTCTTCGCTTGCCGGCTAGGATCGGAATTGCTAACGGTCACCAAAAACCTTGGCGCAAACGTAGTAGAATTGGCCATCTAACCGGATGCGATAAAGCTCGTAGCACCTATTATTGGGCAAATTCCCGTGGCTGGACCGTTGGACGGTTGTACAAGTATTCTTAAACAAATAATAATAATAATAATATGACCAAAGCCTCAGTGTGAAAGTGCGCAAGAGTGTGCTTCTTGAAAATCTTTGAGAGTAAGACGATTACGCTGGTGCGACGGCCTATTTGCACTTTTTGAAACGAATTATGCTCGTCGCGACCCTAGTCTCATTCAAATTTCTTGGTATTTGTATGCCTAAGCACTGTAAGAGTGTCTGGACAGATTGACACGGCAATGTTTGCAACCAAATCAAGCAGAGAGCGGCCAAACTCCCTGAAGCTAAATTACCCTGGTGTCACAAACCTCGAAGCTGACAACACCGTCCTCTTATGAGAAAGACGCACTTCAGACGAAGAGGCTCACGCTATCAAGGGACGCTGACGATCCCTTCGACTCCCAGACGTCTTCATCTCTAACAGACGAGTCAACTACCGATGCCAGCTCAAGCTGCGAGACCACGCCTTCCATCGTGGGCCTCGCCAATGGGTCTGTCCGCAGGCAAGCCAGCGCGACAATGTACCTCGCGCCTTCTCTGCATCGTAGTCATTCCCAAGAGCCGGGTCGACCAATTTCAGAATTCCTCCCCAACCATCTCCGTCGCCACCTTAGGAGACGCTCCACCGTTCCGCTCTCGAGCTGGCATACCACTGGGCGCCCGCCGATCAGCTCCATCGAGAGCATACCAAAGCCGCATACACAAAACATCTCAGTACCCTGAGATGGCAATAGCTAGGAGAACAGCAGCTCCCGCAACAACCCCACCAACAATAGGTCCAACTGGAGGGGATGCTGATGTTGATGGCTCAGGTCGACATGGTGAGCTGAAATCACAACTGTTGCAGCACAACCCCAGGTTTCCAGGATAGAAACTGGTGTTGTCGAACTTAGTTAGACGTGGAGGGATTGGCCCGGAGAGGTTGTTGTTCTGAAGGTAGAGGTAAGAAGGAACATAGAGATCGGGTATTGCGCCGGAGAGGCTGTTGTTGGAGAGAGTTAGATTAAATAGGGAACGCAGATTGCCAAGCTCGCGGGGGATGGAGCCGGAGAGGTTGTTGTTGTCAAGGACGAGGTACAGAAGGGACCTCAGGTTGCCAAGCTCCGGGGGGATGGGCCCGG